TGGAATTTATATAGAAAATATATACTTTTTAACAGTTTCCGCCGTCCCCCCCCCCCCCCCCCGGAAATTTTAGTCCGCTCCTCCCCCCCGGAGAAAATAGTCTGGAAGAAACACTGCGGCTTATATTAAATGTCTCCGCGCCCCTCCCCCTCGCAAGTTTTAAATGCACCATTTAGTGCAGTGACGCATTTCTTTAAAAAAAATTCGCCTTGTAGTGCGGGTTGCGGGTAAGCATTTCCGTTGATAATAAAATATTTGAGAGTAATTTATTACGTCTGCACGTGGGGGTGTGACGACATAGTGGCGTCACGTGGTGCCCCGGCCTCCAGAATTCTCGAACGCGGTCTAGGAATGACGTCATGAAGTTGTTCACTCCTGCAAATAAAACTGTCAATAAACGGAAGTTTTATTCCGCTCCTCGTTCGCGGGGTTGGTTTAAATGGTAATAACCGCTAATAAAATTCTTTGAAAGATAACACAGAAATAGAAAGGTTTGTGTAAATACCACGTGTAAACGATAGTTGCATTTCAGTCACTGAACTGACAGTGTGAATAGGGAAAAAAAATGTTCAACTCAAAATTTGTGATAAATAAAGTATTTGATGTATTCAGATTAGGGGTGAAGTTTGTAAAAATGTGATTAATGAGAATGTATTGAATGCTGATTAGAGATAGGGCAAATATTAAATAACTCGAATACACCATACAGTATTTATTTAAGAATATATTCTCAGGGGAAGCGACTTCTGCCTCAGCTCACCTAATATAAACATTAGCCGTTTCGACAAGGCATTGCTCAAGCGATATGTATTCATGTTAAAAATAGCTACTTTAAAAAAAACATAAAAAATTAAAACTAAAATCTAAAAAGCAATTCAAATTTCTGCGCCATACCTAACCTGGTTCTAAACGAAACGCTTTATCAAGGCTAAATTGTTCAAAACACTATTTTTTAAATCCATTTCGTCACTCTTTTTCCCCATTACCCAATATCTCAGTTGTACGATAATCGAATACATGTTAATACCTTATATATTTCAGTACAAACATTGTAATTTACAACACTACATAGGGTACACTAAAAACACCCCTGTTTAGATTCTATATTTACAATGTCATTGCGACATAAACACATTCCTTCGGTGACTCCCTCTTAGAGATAAATTATGCCGAAGTTAGAACATATTTCTGCGGGTAATAATTATGGTATTCGTTAATTTACCAGCATATGATAAGTCGTGTAATTCTCGTTGTTAATTAGACCATAAAAATTTAGACAAACCTACCAATTATTGATTTATTTTAACTAATTAAATACACGATACTAATATTGTTTTGAAGAGAAACAGCCAAGGATTTGGAATAATTCCGATGTGTGTGTGTTGTATTGTTTGATAAAATAACTCGTTATTTTTGTACGATAGGATTTAACGTGTCAGTCGAGATTGAGACTATACAGTAACAAGAATTTTGTTGTTTTAGAAAGATAATCCGTGCTTCTAATCCAGTGATTGAACGTGAGAAATAAATAAAATAAATAAATATAATGAAACGAATTGTGTACCCGTTAACACAGAGTTACACATACACGGAACCTGAAGTAAAAGTAAACAAAATATTATTTGCACATTACATACAGAGATGCGTACAAAATGGTTTCGCCAAATTATTACTAGTTTGGGCAATGCTCAAATCTTTGACACAGTTTTATTTATAATTTAAATCTAAATATCGATACTAGTATTTGCATATCGGAACTTGTAAACAATTACATTTGCATATCGGGGCTAAATAGTTAATACAGTAATTACATTGGCGTATGCAAAAACTGGAAAAATGCTGCTTTCTTTATACTAAATAGTTGGAGGTCTACACAACATTTTTTTAAAACACACACACACACACACATATATATATATATATATATATATATATATATATATATATATATATATATATATATATATATATTGGAAAAAAGTTATTAAACAACAGGCCGGCCAGTAATGACGTGTGACTTGGATATTGCGGATTAGATTCTCACTGTTTATAAAAAGTGTGTGAAGTGTATCATGCTGCAGTAGACCTAAGTGACGACACAGTTTAGGAACACCTTCATTTTAGTTTGTTCCTACCTGGTGTAAATAAACGTGTGCCTAGGTGTAAATATACTTGCATGTCTAGGTGTAAATATACGTGCATATCTAGGTGTAAATATACGTGTATGTCTTGGTGTAAATAAACGTAAAACACGTGAGTTGAGATGTAAACACCTAATTGGAGTCCTAAGCCCTCCTCTAATTTAGCATGGTGATCTATAGCAGGTGAGGACTAATTACACTAATTAGATATCGACCAGCAGTGCTCACCATTTACACTATACACCTTATACAAACACACACACACATAGTATAGATTTCAAGTGGACCTGATGAGATCTCTACTACACGATTTTTAAACGTGTAACTTGCATTCTTTACAAACATGTAGCTGCTTGATACATCACTGGTAACTGTGTCCATTACATAGACATATTACATGTGGTAAATTCCTTCACTCTGGTTGAGGTGTTGGTGACATAACCACCAAGTACTCACCTGTACAACTACACGTGTGTGTAGCACCTGTGCTAACACTTCCCTCTAAATCTGTGTACTACTAGTTACTGCTGTCAGGAATTACAAAAAACAAAGAGCACAAAGAAACAATGTCAATAAAACCAGTAGTCAGGAATTACAAAAAAACAAAGAGCACAAAGAAACAATGTCAATAAAACCAGTAGTCAGGAATTACAAAAAAACAAAGAGCACTAAGAAACAATGTCAATAAAACCAGTAGTCAGGAATTACAAAAAACAAAGTCCACAAAGAAAACAATGTCAATAAAACCAGTAGTCAGGAATTACAAAAAACAAAGAGCACAAAGAAAACAATGTCAATAAAACCAGTAGTCAGGAATTACAAAAAAACAAAGAGCACAAAGAAACAATGTCAATAAAACCAGTAGTCAGGAATTACAAAAAACAAAGTCCACAAAGAAAACAATGTCAATAAAACCAGTAGTCAGGAATTACAAAAAACAAAGAGCACAAAGAAAACAATGTCAATAAAACCAGTAGTCAGGAATTACAAAAAACAAAGAGCACAAAGAAACAATGTCAATAAAACCAGTAGTCAGGAATTACAAAAAAACAAAGAGCACAAAGAAACAATGTCAATAAAACCAGTAGTCAGGAATTACAAAAAAACAAAGAGCACAAAGAAACAATGTCAATAAAACCAGTAGTCAGGAATTACAAAAAAACAAAGAGCACAAAGAAACAATGTCAATAAAACCAGTAGTCAGGAATTACAAAAAAACAAAGAGCACTAAGAAACAATGTCAATAAAACCAGTAGTCAGGAATTACAAAAAACAAAGTCCACAAAGAAAACAATGTCAATAAAACCAGTAGTCAGGAATTACAAAAAACAAAGAGCACAAAGAAAACAATGTCAATAAAACCAGTAGTCAGGAATTACAAAAAAACAAAGAGCACAAAGAAACAATGTCAATAAAACCAGTAGTCAGGAATTACAAAAAACAAAGTCCACAAAGAAAACAATGTCAATAAAACCAGTAGTCAGGAATTACAAAAAACAAAGAGCACAAAGAAAACAATGTCAATAAAACCAGTAGTCAGGAATTACAAAAAACAAAGAGCACAAAGAAACAATGTCAATAAAACCAGTAGTCAGGAATTACAAAAAAACAAAGAGCACAAAGAAACAATGTCAATAAAACCAGTAGTCAGGAATTACAAAAAAACAAAGAGCACAAAGAAACAATGTCAATAAAACCAGTAGTCAGGAATTACAAAAAAACAAAGAGCACAAAGAAACAATGTCAATAAAACCAGTAGTCAGGAATTACAAAAAACAAAGACCACAACAGAAACAATGTCAATAAAACCAGTAGTCAGGAATTACAAAAAACAAAGAGCACAAAGAAACAATGTCAATAAAACCAGTAGTCAGGAATTACAAAAAACAAAGAGCACAAAGAAAACAATGTCAATAAAACCAGTAGTCAGGAATTACAAAAAACAAAGAGCACAAAGAAAACAATGTCAATAAAACCAGTAGTCAGGAATTACAAAAAACAAAGAGCACAAAGAAAACAATGTCAATAAAACCAGTAGTCAGGAATTACAAAAAACAAAGAGCACAAAGAAAACAATGTCAATAAAACCAGTAGTCAGGAATTACAAAAAAACAAAGACCACAAAAGAAAACAATGTCAATAAAACCAGTAGTCAGGAATTTAAAAAAACAAAGAGCACAAAGAAAGAATGTCAATAAAACCAGTAGTCAGAGATTACAAAAAACAAAGTCCACAAAGAAAACAATGTCAATAAAACCAGTAGTCAGGAATTACAAAAAACAAAGAGCACAAAGAAAACAATGTCAATAAAACCAGTAGTCAGGAATTACAAAAAACAAAGAGCACAAAGAAAACAATGTCAATAAAACCAGTAGTCAGGAATTACAAAAAAACAAAGACCACAAAAGAAAACAATGTCAATAAAACCAGTAGTCAGGAATTTAAAAAAACAAAGAGCACAAAGAAAGAATGTCAATAAAACCAGTAGTCAGAGATTACAAAAAACAAAGTCCACAAAGAAAACAATGTCAATAAAACCAGTAGTCAGGAATTACAAAAAACAAAGTCCACAAAGAAAACAATGTCAATAAAACCAGTAGTCAGGAATTACAAAAAACAAAGAGCACAAAGAAAACAATGTCAATAAAACCAGTAGTCAGGAATTACAAAAAACAAAGAGCACAAAGAAAACAATGTCAATAAAACCAGTAGTCAGGAATTACAAAAAACAAAGAGCACAAAGAAAACAATGTCAATAAAACCAGTAGTCAGGAATTACAAAAAACAAAGTCCACAAAGAAAACAATGTCAATAAAACCAGTAGTCAGGAATTACAAAAAACAAAGAGCACAAAGAAAACAATGTCAATAAAACCAGTTTATTTCCAACATGTCCACGTATACATCTAGAACCTTCACCATGTCCCACAAATTGCTCATACATAGATGGTAAATGGTGCACAGCTAACACAACTTCACCTAACACACAATCTAGGATTAACACAACAGCTACTTGTTCATTGGTACATCTAACACCATCACCCACACCTACATGGTAAACGTAAATGGTGCATAAGTAACAAAGCTTAGTTATACATAGTAATTAATGGTTCAAATAATAACAGACAAAGATGGGGAAGGGGGGGGGGGGGGGGGGAAGGGTAACCTGATAATGGTATAAGATGTCATTAGATAACAAGAAATGTCATGAGCTGGGCTTTCATAAGGGAATGTTTGAAATAAATTATAACAACATTGGTACAGGTGAAGTGATCTGGTGGACACAGAAGGAATACATATTTCTTGTATTACAGCCTACCTATACATCGGGGAGGGGGGGGGAGGGGTGGGGGGAGGGAGATTAATTACGGAAGGCTTGATATAAGATCTAATAATTGAGAGAGAGTACAATAATAAACTTTTGACCATATAGGCCTATTTAACTCAACAGACTAAGGTTTTATTAAAATAAATAAAAATAATTTTAACTGTGAAGAGCAAATACATGAAAAAAGCAGCAATATAAATGAAATTTTGATTGTAAATAAAAGATTTGACTTTTGAAATAAAACAAATTTGATTAAATTTAAAACAATAGAAAATATTTTTAGTAAGTTCAACTGTTGAACAGTGTTATTTCCCCTGACCCTTTTTACAAATCTCAATACTACTTTACCAAAATAATATTTAAGTGAGTTACCTCCCCTACCACTGATTATTAAATCAACAAAGTTTTTTAGGTAAACTCACAAAATTGTCTTTTAACACACATTAGAACAAAATAACTACATTTCTATATTTCATCCACTTACTGTCTCACTAAATTTACTTCTATTTTACACATGGGACTACATCATATATTGATAAAAATATACTTTAATAAAAATGTTTGGAGATAAAGTAAGCTTAAATATTTAATTGCCTTAACTTTATTGACAACAGATGGTACTATGACTGTGAGACAAGACTAGAATTCAGGATCAAAATCAAAGAAATGAATGACACATGTCAGTGACTTCAGCCATGTCATAATGACAAGTGCGTGACATCACAAGTCTCACTGACACAGATACAGACTAACACTCTGGACTAGAGGGTATGTATATCTCATGTCTATCTGAGAGGATCACAAACACTCAGGTGATGCTTGCTTACATGCTGAATCTGAGGTCAGTCAAGTTAATGTCATAAACTGTAACAATAGTACTTAATAGTGTTACATGTCATAAACTGTAACAATAGTACTTTATGGTGGTACATGTGATAAATGGTGATAAATGAGATACATGGTGACACAAAAATTGATGTACTTGATGGTGTTATATAATATAAATGATAAATGATAAGAGAGATTATTTTATAAATGAGGATAACAACATACGGGTAGCCAAGTGAAAAGATCAGCATGATGAAACAGGTAACTCTTCAACAAGAAATAATTTATCTAATGATTGTTTCTATTGCTATCTCAGGTTCTCTAAATAGAACACTGTCAACTAAGAAAGGCACATTTCTGGTCAAATCAACACACATAATTAGTATCACAATTTTTATGCATACGTAACCATAGAAACCTAAAGAAGGTGCAACTAACAATAAGTAAAAGTTTTGTAAAAAACTATTCCAGTACATTGTAATGCCAACTACACATTTTAAGTTTTGCCATAGTTTAATTTAGCAAACCAAAAACCTCATTTTTTTTAAATACAACAAAAAATATGAAATCTAGTAAAATATGTTTTAAAAATTTACATGCATATTCATATAAGTGAAATAAAAGTATTATGCAAAGGGGAAGTAATAAGTAGTAAAACAATAACGTGACCGGAAAGATGAGCAATGGAAAACTGCACAACGAAAGATTGCTCACAAAAAAGTGTGCAAGGGAAAATATGTTTTCTTAAATTGAGCTTTTATAGACATTAACAAAGTGTGACTAAATGTACACTGAAGCATGATAAAACATATTTCCACAAAATATTAGTATAATCAATTTGAATTTGCGCATTTTTCTGTTTGCGCAGTTATTTGTTGCGCAGTTTTCAGATTGTGCATTTTTCTGGAAACCAAACAAAAAACATCTTTCTGAGCTCTTATAAAAAAGTGATGATAATTTCATTATTGTGTAATTTTTAAGTCTATTTCATTAAAAAAAAAATAAAGTAATTTGACAAGTTTGAATTTACTAATTAAATTGAGCACAAGTAAATCTTATTCTTCAATCTACACCTTGTTAACAACAGTATAGGTCACTAAAAATGTTTACAACAAGACCAATGTTTAACTCTAACTATATTGAAGACTGGCAGTTTTATTATATAGAAATCTAAATGATAAAATATTTTTAAAACAAGTCACAACTTTAGAATTGATTAAATAGAACTACATCTTAGCACTTAACAAAACAAAACAAATTTTCATTTGGTAAATCATAAACCTCAAGGTTAAAAATAAACCTTTAAAAATATTCAGCAGTTTTCAACTTTAAAATAATCAAAATGAGAAAATGAAGGAATTCCAAGCGAAAAACAATTCTATATCACAGCTTGCATAAATCATTAATTTCAGGTGTAATAAAAGCTCTGTATTAGCTAAACAAAATAAAACCGTGATACTGCCCTGTTAAGAAACTCAGAAACACTAGACAGCTGTGGCCAGATAATGCTGCATTGTCCACTTCTGAGATAGTCTGTCATCACATGTGTTGATTACAACTAGTTCACCACTTTTGTTGCCTCCCGTGTCTAAACATTTGTTTGATGACTTGTGGATCACTGTGTTCTTTGACTGAAAGCAAGAGAATAATAGAAAAAATACATCTCAATTTAATAAATGTAAAAAGCTGATGGTTGTTTTGTCATATATCCAAAATTTCTCTTTAAAAATTGATGTTTTTTAATTTAAAAAAAGTGTAAAAAGTTTGTTAACTATGTATCCAAATTTTTTTTTAAATTGTTTTTTTTTTTTAAAATATAAGTAAAAAAAGTTGATGGTTACTTTATCATGTAACAAAATTTCTTTTAAAATAAAATGTTTTTTTTTAATAAAAGACAAACAGTTGATGTTTACTTTATCATGTATCCACTGTTGACTTGATGAGCCGTGGCAAGGCATCAGTGAAACATGGCTGCCACTAGAACCACTTGCTTCCAGACAAGCCTCCTCCCTTCTCAGCTGGCCTTCATGTGTGAGAGAAAACACCTGCAATAAAGTCAACCATTAGACAGTGGAATAATGTTTTATTACACTACCCCTTCAAATGCTGAGGTCACAGAAACAGGTGAACATAACTTCACTTGCCCCATGGACCATCTGATTCAAATAGGGAACTTAACTTTTTTACTTTCTCGTATATAGGAAGTATAGAGAAAGTCTAGTAATCGTGCAAAAAAATAAAATAATTGAGATTTTTACAAATCTCGACGTTTTACACCTCACGGAAAAACATAATTTTGCAATCTTGTCCGTATGTCTGTGTGTCTGTCTGTGTGTGAACACGATAACTTGAGTACCGTTACAGCTAGGTTGACAAAATTTGATATATAAGTATTTTATCAAAATCGTAGATCCGTATCAACTTTTGAGCGATTAAGTGGTACTTTTTCTACTTTGAATTTTTCAAAAGCCTATAATAACGTGAGTACTATTTCAGATAGATAAATGAAATTTCACAAGTAAGTAAAAGATCTAATTCTATACCTTCTGTCAAATTTTGAGCAATTTCTGTTGACCTGAAGTACTAATTTACGCTATTTCCGATTTCTCAAAAAACGCTTGTAAATTTATAAAGTACTAATAATAATCTTGCGCACTATTATGCACATTTTGTTTTGGCGTTCGCTTGGTGCGCAATTCTTTATTCTATGAGATACTATTCTATTTTTAAAAGCTTAAGTAATTAAAAATCATGTCTATATTCTAAGTTATATAAGAATATTCGAGAAAGTTTAGCGGAGATCACTCCCGGTTTATTTATTTAGTATTGTTATTTCTTCTGTGTTTTAAAAATGAAACCACCAATACTTTCTGAACTAGGTTTTTATAAAAATGGAATACTAAGAATGCCCAATCCCAGTTATAAATGATTTAAAGTAAACAAGACAATGAGACAGGGACTAAGGAAAAATCATATTTCTACTACTTCTTTATTTTGTTGTAGTGTTAATTTTAAGTTAAGCTAATTTTAAAAATTTTGCTGAACAAATTGTGATGCATTAATGTACGATACTGTTTTTTGAGACCCTGCTGAGTATTATGCTAATAGTAGGACAGTAAGTATGGCTTTAATTGTGCAGCAGAACGATATAATTTCAAGTACGAAAAAAGTTTTTATAAAAACATATCCCTACTAGATATCACAGTGCAGACATGCCTACCCCTGGCAACCAAAAGTAGGAACAGTCAAACAGAAAAAGAGGAATTTGAAGCAAAAAAGAGGAACATAATTTTTTTAATCCACGGTTGCTTAACCAATAATAATCTTAAATTAACTATGGCTGTCCCTTTCGATCTCCCACACTGAAATTGTTTAGCAAATTTATCTTCTTTGAACATTAGTTTAAAAGCTTTAGAAAATTTATCTAATGAAGCAAGTGGCAAATTCATTTCAGTAACTAGATCTAGATCAACTAGCATAACTTCAGCAACATAACATCATTGATCGATTTTTTTAGGCTTAGTCGAAGTAAAAAACAATTCAACTTTTTTTATTCTTTGACTAGCTTAGCTAGCTCCACGTGTTTAGCACTTGCATTGTGCTTGGTAATGTCGTTTATTTTAAACTCACAATTACAAATCTCATAATGAGCATTTGTTTCACAATTCTTTCCTTTTTTGACAAAAGGAAATTCTTCCGAATATTCCGTTCTGAAGCACTGAACACGATTTTTTGACGTTGAAGGGGATTCCCCGATCTCAGATACTGAACGTTTCAGCATTTTTCAACAAGGAAACGGAAGTAAACAGGGAACGCCGTTCACTTCCGTTTCTAGTTTTCTGGGGGGAAATTCGCATTTTTGCTGATAATTTTCTTTTTCCTTTTTTTTAAATAACTTTTTTGATTATTTTTGAAAAGAATTCGGAACAAAACGAGTCCAAGTCGGAACAAATTACTTTTGAGGGTAAAAAAGCGGAACGGTTCCGCTTTTGGCGGGACGGTAGGCATGTCTGACAGTGTATTGTGCACAAATGTTGGATCCTACCTGACTAGCACTTCCTCCATTCTGGCAAAAAAACATGCCAATGTCAAAGACAGACTTCTCATCTTTTTGTAAAGTGTCCAGACAGAGGCTAGATTCTGGATTGCGCACCTGAACATTGATACAAGTCAGTCAGTGTTCACATGATGTATGCTCAAACAAAGTGTACACAAAATGGAAGTTAAGGAAGTAAAGAGGGTTAATCCTATATAGCAATGAACATAAAAACTTATATGCCGTAAATACAAAATACAATAAACTCTACTTCATGTGTATTATGGAAGTACGGGTAATTAACTTTTATATCATGAATGTGCACTGTAACCAACACAGAGAACAATTTGAAGGAAATTTGGCCAACATTTTAATAATTTGTCTGGCTAAATGGGAGGTTCAGCCTATAGTAAAAGGTGCACTAAGTCTGCCAATGTGATATAATAATGTGATTAGGTTTGTTATAGTACAGCTCCAGATATTAGACTGAAAGAAGATGACTTACCATACCCCATGCCTGGACATTCTCATCAGGGATGAACTTTTCTGGGTAAACATTGTCTAGGTACCATTTAAAACTCTTACACTTTAATCTCTCACGTAGAGCTTTCCTCTCTGATATGTCCCCATAGTCTTGTGACTAAAGATAGAAAGAAATCAATCATCAGCTTACAGTAGTGCTCAGTGTAAAAAAAAAAATTAGTCACGTAACTAAGATTTAAATAACTAGAAAGGCCCAAGTAAAAAATATATAACACACCTTCGGGGGTGGGGGTCAAACATGATTATTTGTTTTTTGCTAATTAAATAATTAATAAGAGATCTTAAACTATAACCACAGTAGCAGGAGAAACAATGTGAGCATCAGTGAGGTAATGTACTGACCAGCAGGTCTCTGCGATGTGTGTAGAATAATCTCTTATAGTCATCCATCCACACCTCAGCTAAACGCATTGAGTTTATGCCATGGGTATCTACATTACCTGCAGATAGAAAAGTTGTAACATTAGCTAATGACATCATGGGTATCAAATACAGACTGTATCATTAGCTTTTGACAACTTAAGTATGTTCATTGTGTCACAATCCTGGAAACATATGCTGAGTTATAGTTATGTTCAGCTCATTCATTCAGGTGGTTTTGTGGGCAATGTTTCAGGTGGTATTTGTGGGGAATGTTTCAAGTGGTATTTGTGATCAAAGTTTCAGGTGGTATTTGTGTGGAATGTTTCAGGTGGTATTTGTGTGGAATGTTTCAGGTGGTATTTGTGGGGAATGTTATAGGTGGTATTTGTGGGGAATGTTCTAGATGGTATTTGTGGGAAATGTTTCAGGTAGTATTCGTGGAAAATATTCTAGGAGGCATTTGTGAGAAATGATCTAGGTGTTATAGATGGGGAATGTTTCAGCCTATTAAACGGGAAATGTTCTCTAAGGTGTGAACTAGTGAATGAGCATGGCATTTACCTGGAAATGTGTAAGGGTGACTGGACAGAGCGATGTGACTTAGACTTACCTGGAAATGTGTAAGGATGACTTGACTGAAAGATGTGACTTAGACTTACCTGGAAATGTGTAAGGGTGACTGGACCTGAATATGTGACCCACACGAGAACAAGGAACAAACTCCAGCTTGCCCCCACACATCCATACCTAGCCAAGAGGAAAAACAGAAAACCTTTGGGAATCAGGTAACATCAACTACTTTACAAAAAACCTTACGTAACCAACTATTTTACAAAAAAACCTTCTGTAGCATCAACTACTTTATAGAAAACCTTACGTAACATCAACTACTTTACATTAAAACTTATGTAACATCAACTACTTTACAGAAAATTGAAGTGCGACTAGGTAAAGAAGATTTACTGTATTTAACCTAGGTACCATTGGCAAGATATATAACAGAAGTCATATCGGCCAAAACAGAAATATTAAAGATTCCTCTTTAGATCTAGCGATCCATTATAAAGATGAAGTAGAGTTCTTGTTTCTTGACCTCAGCATAAGAAGGTCAGATGTGGTCAGCACTATGCCCAGCCACCTTTACTTTTCCAGAGTTAGGTACCTATCAGAGCTGGATGGACTCAGAGAGGTTCCAGTGACTTGAACCTGGATTCAAACTCAAGACTCTGAGGTTAGTAATCTAGCACTCTAACTCTAGACCACACCTTCCCACAAAATACAGCAACATTAGACATACAATATTTCAAGAAAAAGATATTCCAAAGTCCATTAGTTCTGAAAATGCTTAAAAACAGCACTGTATTGTGCTATAAAAATATGTGTATTAAACTATGTGTCTACAGCCTTACCCTAAACGACAGCTCCAGATTTTCACCTCCCCATACAGCCATGCCAGGATCATAAGCTCCAATTTCAAAGAAAAAATTGCGCTCTACGGCCAACAAGCCCCCAGCCATGGTAGGGGATCTGTTTAAAGTTAAAAAAAAAAACTCGGTTAACCAAAACACCAAATATCTTTTCCTTCAGACTAGTTGAGTCTTTTTTTTTTCACAAAAAATATTTTCAAATAATCTTTGTTATCTTAATCAAAATTCTAAATTCATGAGCATATGATTTATAATGGTAAAGCTGTGCACACATTGTGGTTTAACAAACTTTTTCACTTTAAAGATGGGGGGAACTATATTAAGTAATTATACAATTCTTTAAATGTCTGTGTGTGCATTCATAAAGCCAACATACAGTGTCGACAAACCTACAATGGAGATGGTGGTGACCAAACCAATATACCCGTCTTGCCTCCAAACCAAAAAGGACATATAATCTACACCCAAGTGTCAGTTGACTTAGAGACAACAAATATCAAGTAACATAGTTATGTCAAAGCAGGGGAGACTAGCGCATTAATTTACTCTGCTTAATTAAACAGAAAAAGTTTAGTTAAAATTAAATGCTTCTAAAGATTATATATATATATATATATATATATATATATATATATATATATATATATATATAGAGAGAGAGAGAGAGAGAGAGAGAGAGAGAGATATATATATAGATATATATATATATATATATATATACACACACATAAATATATATATATACACACATAGATACATATATTTATTTATTAAAAATATACATAATTTACACCAAATTTTATATATATATTTATTTAAAATATACATAATTTACACCATTTTAACCCAATGATTTAAATAGCAATGTTCTACAAGGCTGAGGTGAAACAATAGAATAGAAACACACAACTAAAACAGCACAATAGAGAAAAGATTCTGAATCTCAGCCTTTGTAATCCCCATGAGAAAACTACACCTGGCCATAAAAAGGTTGAAGCAAATAAAAGAGGCTTTGTGGACACAATAAAATCAATGCTGTCACAAGGGAGTGAAAGGACATTATGTTCAGAAATGTGTAGATATTCATTTACTTTATCTCAAACGTTATTTTAGTTTCAAGTGCAAGCTTCATATGTGTCAGGTCAATGTAACATGTAAAGTCCCTGGTTTCTTGTAAAAGAAAAACTTGATCAATAAATAAAAACTTTTAGTAGATTAAGTTTCAGCTGACACAATTTTAGCATTAAACCTAATCCAAAACCTGAAAGGTCCTAAAGATTAAGATGTAGCTTATATCCTACACATCTAGCATAAAACAGAACATGGATGACAAGACATCTATTACCAGGACACATTGAACAATATCAACAATAAAGGTAGGGGGATACTGAAACATGGTTGGAAAAAATGTTTGAAAGGTTTAAAATTACTGTGTTAGACTTGTAGGGTGTTAAAAGGTTGGTACACAAAAATAATCTACAAGACTACAGGCAACAATACTGGAATCAATCAAACTAGAAAAAATGTTAAAAAAAAGATCAAACCCCACTCCTGAGGTGCAAGAAGAAGCAAATCACCTGCCAGCCTAGAAGCCTCTCTTACCGTACAGGTGTGGTATACGCAGGATTATCTACAGCCCTGGGGCTGCCATCCTGCCAGGTGAAGTGAAGGCTCCAGGTGAAGCCACCTATCTGATAGCCACCATTACTAGAATACTCTAGAGTCTTGTCATCTATTGCGTCTATTATTGGACAAAGCACTGCGGTCCTGTCCTCAGCTATTCGACTCAACAAAGGCTCAATCCTAATAACAGAAGGCGGAGCTTTTTAACTCACTGGGGATTTTACACGCAATGCCACAAGTCGCCAGGTTACATTTTATCGGATTTTCTGTTGCCTTGCTTTTAACCAACGTAGCTTTTTGTAAATATGAGAGAATTGAAAGTAACGGAACACTTCCCCAAGCTAAAATCTTTGAACACTGGAAAGTAGAGAAGAAAAGATGAGCTGGTAACAAATTCCATAGAATACTGAAGTTACCTATATGGCTCTATTGGAGAACTGCGCCTCTGTACCTCGCGGTTGGGCATGGGCCTCCAGGAGAAATGCAAGCTCCACCAAAAGCCACCCACACTGGCGCTGCCTGTGCCACCATACTGGAGTGTATTTTTATCAATCAAATCAATCTCAGGACACAGAACAGCTGTGCGATCTTCATGTATTCTGTTCAGTAAAGGTTCAATCCTGTAGGAGAAAGCTAGTCATAGGTACAAGCCCTTTAAACACCAATAGTTGTAAGTAACACCAGAGAAATATTATCACTACAACCTGACCGGTTAGAAACATAACCAAAAAATCTGCAACAGCCAAGAAATTGGTTAAAAAATAATGCAAGGCAACATATCTCTAAATGGGGTCTGGTATGTGTTTAACATGTATCTCATGTTAACTTAAGTTTACTAATGACTTGTGGCATTGCTGTGTAAAGAGTAAACTCATTGTATAATAATGTGCATAATTCTAAAAAACAAAAACTACATAGTACATGATCATTTAAGTTAAAATGAACTAAACTGCCATCTTTACAATATGGCTAGACTAATGTTAGCTTAATGAGGCTGGATAAGATATTAGCGTAATGTCATGAGTACAAAGCTACTCACCAGCCAGTGTTGACCTCACAGTGTGAGTCTAAAAATATCAGCACATCCCCTGTTGCTGCTTTGGCACCGGCTATCTTTGCCCTGATGAGTCCTGATCTCTCAGTCGTGCGCACTAGACGAACTACTCCATCAGGCCAAGTGTCGGCTATGTAGTTCTCCAACTTCTCTTTCAGGAAATCTACATAACACAAACAGCCGTTAATGGGTTTTTTTAATGTGTCTCAGCTATGTTAACTGATGCTTATGTTAATGACTTAAATGACTGACAGCCTGGCATGACTGACACCTCCAGGGCATGACTGAAACCCAAGATGATGACTAACATCCTATATTGCATTGACTGATAGCTAGTAGAAAAACATCTAATATGATCAGATTGCATCCAGGATTAAACAATAAACTAAAAAATATTGGCTATGGTAGATATGAGCGCAGATAGTAGTTCCCTGTGTTTGGAGAAAACAAGCTGTAACCTAGGGGAAGTGATGGTGGTGGTGATTTTATAAAACACTTAGACAGAACTCAGGTTTTGTATGAAATAAATACAGTAAAGAACAGATATTTTTAAATCTATTAAAAACCCTACTACCTGAGTAGCATCTACCTCCACAGGTAACTTAAAAAAGCTGAAAGATTAACATACCTTTATCAGAGAAGTCATCTAACAAGACCACCTCGTGCAGGTAATCTGGGGGTGATCTATTGACAACACTATGGGCTGTCCTCAGTAGTGGGGACCAAGCTTCATTGTGGAATATAATCACCACGCTGGCTTTTGGCAGTTTCTTAGGGTACTCTATTGATCTGCACCTAGAGGAAGGTATAGACTTGTGGTAACACAGTAAACCATTCATAAAATACTTGCTAATACCTTGCTTAAAACAAGAGATTTACTACTGTGATTGTGTAGATTATGAACAATTTTAACTATTAAAAATGTAGATTTGGTGGAGTCTGAGGATGTAATGGATTAATCATAATTTTAAATTAATTTTGAGAGAAAATTGTCTGTACTTATTTTTTTTTTTTTTAAATGATGGGTGATTTTAGCCCTAGTTTAAAACTTGATAGAAAAAAGTGTTATTCTGTGAACGTTTATTTCTTCATATTGTCTGATGGAACTTACCTCGAATCTCGGACATCAACAAGAGATCTTTCTAAAGATATTTTGTCACTAGCAATCCTGTTGAAAGCTTCTTTATCTAAGAGGCTGTCGGCCAGCTTCTTCTCCTCCCCCTCCAACAACACAGCTGCACCCTGTTCACCATGACCCTCACGGTACGGCTCTGACTGTTTGTATCTCTGGTAGCGGATGTACCTCACAGAGTACTGGGTTAACCCAGCAGCAGAGAAGTTGATCAAGTCAAAGTAGTATGCCAGCCCAATGAGCAATGTCATCAAAAGTATAAAAAACAAAATTGTCGAACGTCTCCTTCGTATATATCTGGAAAGCATACTCATTCTTCTACAATAGGGTTTTTAAAAAAAAAATAGGCTACACCATACAGGACCTGAAATCATACATAAAAAATAGTTACAAGTTTTCACGTTTTAGAATGTAATAGAATGGTTTATAACATTATTGTTGCTGGTGTATAATGCAGTATTAAGTAGTCACAAAGGAACAAACTGAAAAAACAACAGACAACTAAGAAAGAAAAATCTGTAACCATATAAACAGATGAATGAATGGAACAGAGGGCACTATAAGATTTTATCTTAAAAAGTATTTTATAAACATAAGCTGAACTTTAACACAAAGGGAGTTAACTTGCATAAAATTAATTTGGCTAAAATTTTGGGATGTGTATAAAGTACTCAATACAAGTGAGAAAAAGAAATTGGAGTTGATTGTCCTACCTTCAAGAGTGAAATATTTTAATTTTGAAACCTTAAATATCCTCAGTATGTAAGAAACAAAAGATTATAAAGTGGTGTATTGAATTTATATAAAATAAGCTCAACAGAATCAATAGAAACATTAAGATCAAGAACATCTAAATGTTTGAGTTTAATGTACCTTGTCAATAGTATTGATTTACATGTTTGAGACAACGTGTTTGTTACCAAAAGGGATTGTGATGAAAAAAGAAGAGCTCCATCTTAATGAAGGGTTTGTTCAAAGTGGAGTGTTCAAATTATATTAAGACAGAATTGATGCCAAAATAAAATTATTGTTTTGTGACCCACCAGATAATAAAACAATGTTTAGTAAGTTGAAGTTTCAACACAGATATTCACATCTACAAAAAGTAAAATCTTTACCCCCTCCCCCCCCCTCTCCCCCACATACACACACAAAAGAGCTTCAGAGTGATGTTAACATATTGTACCTCTTTGTGCCACAAGCTAGTTAGCTCATTTATAGTGCAATGTATTTCAGTCATTTTTACTTAAGAAACAAATCACTTCCTGTTGAAAAGCATCCTATTCCGACTCTCATTCTTATTTTTATATTTCATCACATCCCTCCGGCCTGCAAAAATTTTGATCCTATCTCATAATTATTAATACTAGACTGTATATGTCTATGTCAGAATGATGACTTTCAGAATAAGGCCCACATACTATTACAGTTCTTCTAACTTTGTAATACCATGAGCATATACACCAGCCAGCCTTACACTGCATTGATAACAGACAGGTCTCCCTTCAAACAATTTCCAAAACAAACGTCATAAATAAACTTATTATTTGCTAAAAACATTCTGAAGTCAGACTCCCCCCCCCCCCCCCCAACAGTCTATTTACTCCAATAGAATCCTTTGATAGTGTTAAGAAGAGAATGCAATCTTAGAGACCTTTTAGTCCTGAGTTGCCTGCCCCCTAATAAATCTCCACCAAGGTTGGCACTATACACTGTTTGCATAAATGCAATACATGTAACTTCCCACTTTAGATGGAACCCTCACAATTTACAGTCGCGTGAGTTCCATAATGTGGATTACTTCAACCAAAGCAGTCAATGCAACATCTTTGATATTGAACAAACAGGGAAACAATTGCCTGCAATCAATTAAAAAAAAAAGTCTTCCTGTGGCTAACCATTTAAAAAAAGAGTACACACTACACTAAAACCAACTTTTGTGTGACCCTTGTCTGTAACTGATATAAAAGTTGCAAATGCAGGGAACTTGAAAATAATTTTTTGTGTTTAAGGTTATACCCAATTTTTGTGTTTAAGGCTATACCCCTGTTTCTATTTATTTACATCAAGCCTTAATTATAACCTGTAAGACAACTTACAAGTGTTCATAATTTGTGAATTCGACAGTACCAACGCTGCCACTGAAAATATTTGCTTTAAAACACTATCAGTAGCTCGTTAAGGACGATAACCCCACCTCCTTTTCTCAAACCCTACCCCAGACCCCTCTTACTTACCTCCCCTAAGTTTAAAATTAAAATCGTTTCAAACTAAATTATCAGCCCCTAATAGCCGTCACTAAACCCGGCTCTACGATTGTAAACATTAAGCGTGAACCACAGCTCAACAGACCATGTAGGTGGTTAAGGACGATAACCCCCCCTCCTTTCCCCAACCCCTCCCCCTCCCGTGAAAGTAAACTCCTCTTAGTTACCTCCCCTAAGTTTAAAAACGTTTCAAACTAAATTATCTGCCCCTAATAGCCGTCACTAAACCTGGCTCTACGATTGTAAACATTTAGCCTGAACCACAGCTTACCAGACCATGTAGGAGTGGGGGTGGTAGGGAGCGCGCTTACAGCTTGGTGTTTTCTATTATCTCCAAGAAGAGAATTATATATATAGATTTTTTAAAAATCTATTTTAATAGCCTATTTAAATATAGGCTACTATAAACAGCTAACATGCAAATGACCAGAAAAACCAGGTAATTGTTGAGCTATGCTCATCTTTTTCGGTCCAGAATTGGCCAAGTAAAAAAGTAAAAAGAGCTCAAAATTGAATAAGTTAAAATATAGGCCTATATTTAGGCCTATAAATTATAGATTCTATAGAATAGATAGATCTAGATCTACTAACTAAGATCTAGATTTTAATTCTAGATCTACTAGACTAGATAAAGTAAAAACAAGAATTAAAAGTGTAAAAAGTAAAAAGAAAGTGTTTTTTAGTTAAGGCCTAGATCTAAGTCTAAGTAATACTATGTAGAAATCTACTAAGTATTAATTTAGCTAGGCCAATGCAAAAATTTAATTTCAGTAAAACAATATAATAGTTACATATTTGGGTAGAGGCTGCCAATCTGATTACAGATCAGTTTGAATTTTCAAAATCTGACCATAAACAAAAAAGTTATGAATTTTTTAGTGATTAAAAAACAGCAGTTTTTTCAGACAACCGGGGTAGACCCTGAAAGAGGAAAAATACTGGGAGGGTATGGACCAAATTTTTAAGCGTTTTTCACTAAAAGTGGTATAAAAGCCAGAATACTTTATCAATTGATGTAATTTTAAGACATTTTATAGATTTTTGTATGCTGAATCCAATGATGCTATTTTAAAAGGTGTCCTTCGATTACTCAACCTACTAATCTCATAGATTATGTAATACCCCCCTTTCAATTTTTTTTTAAACATCTAATAATCAATGTGATAAGAAGTCATTCTTTAAATGTAACGCTGTTTTAATCTAAAATATGACATTTGTATATGCTCAAGCTAATGGTAGATTTAAAATGGTCCAACATTGTTACATAACTATCAAATGTTAAGGTTATGTAATCCCACCCTTTGCTCAAAATATACCATGAATTTGTTTTAAAATCACTTTTGCTCATTGTCAGTTAACTTCAAGTTAATAGCCTACTAGAAGAAAATATAACTAATCAAGTTTTTCAATACAATGAGAAGAATGCTATAGTAAAATTGTGATTATGTAACTTCTTAAAAGATGTTATGTAATCTATGTTCAATACTATAGGCCTACTCTGTTCCAAAATTAAAGGCCTATCTCATTATAATTATATTTCTTGTTATTTTAAATATCTTAATCCTTTTTGCTATAGAATTAGTCTAGTTACAAATGTGTTTGATCAGAATCAGAGTGTGCTTTATGGTAATTACGTAATATTACTACCCATATTAAAGTTAATCATTTTTACAATGTCAATAAAATAAACTTTGGAGGAAAATATTTTTTTAAAAAAAACTTGTACAAGGTATAGTTAAGTTATAGATCTATAACATACATTTATATTTAAGCCCAATGTTTATGCTAGTAGTAAGTAGGTTTATGTATTTTGTAAGCCTACCAGTAGGCCTTTTACAATTAATAACTTTCTTAAGAAAAAAGCACGTGTTTGAGTGCTTGACTGTGTAGATCTAGTAGATTCTAGAAATTGTGTAAGATTACCGTGTTTGGCTATACGTGTTTGGCTATACACAGACACGTGTACCACCACAAGCTTTTGCCTAGATTTTGTTTAATCTGACTAGCCAGATCTTCTGACCAACGAATTTTATTGCCCTATTACGTAAACACGACCGCTGGGTAGGCTAGTCGGCCAACCCGATGAACGTGTCAGATGAATATTATGTAATCTCAGAGACAAAAGTCTGGCAAGATTTCCTGATCTATGCCCGAGGGTTAGTAACATCAACTCCACAAAGTGAAGGGGGAGGGAGGTGGGGTATGAAACCACCGTGTACCGTACGAGTGTTATACAACATCAAAAGCGATGCTCGTCGGCTTGTCGCGTCACGGACTAGTGGGGGCGGGGTGAGGTTATGGGTGTTACATACGGTGTAGGATGGTCAGTGGGTACCCCCATCCACCCCACCCCATTTTGGTCGATTTGACAAGCTAGTAACCCCCACGTTGTTAGTGGTATTAACATTTGTAGAAAAGAGCCCCGGATATAATTTAATTTATTTTTCAAGCCATTTTTACGAAAATGTAATGTACACAATAATGAAACGTTACACGAATCACAAGCACATCACAGCATTGTTTGATCGGGCCGAAGCTATTCGGATTAATTTCTAAAGAAGATTAATTTTGACTATTAGTCCTCAGCCGTAAATACTAACAAAACTTTTGTTTGACATTTCAATGGATTAAGACAAAGTTATGCAACATGTCTGTGTGCTTATAAATATAAAGTAGCAATAGCCGTCGAGTCAAACACGGGAACACATGTATCTATCTTTAGACATTGTTTATAGTATCATCCAATCGGATCAAGCGCCTAGCGTCACGTGACCACACACTCGGCTGTGCCACACGATGTGTAGATCACCAATCAGTCGGACGGCGGCCGACGCGTTAACTTTTATTTTCGTTCAGTTTTAAAATGTATGGACGGCTTTATTACGAGGTGCTATAAGACATGTCATACATTAAAATAAACGACGGGATTTCGGGAATACAGCTCAGGGTTCAAATGTAAAATAATCATTAAAAAAGTTTTAAAAAACCCACGTTTTCTGATTGAACTAAAAAGTAGAAAATAAATGCTATAGGCCCTACATCACAATAATGCAAGCGATCACTCTACTATAAGCGATCAAAAACGTGGGGCGCCGAAGTAAAAGTTATATTACTATTGATTAGATAATACTATTGACTTTTATTAGGGAGCTTGTAGAGAGTCAACAGTATTAGAAACTGTAAGAAAATCACGGCGCCCCACGTTTTTGCTCGCTTATAGTAGAGTGATCGCTTGCATTATTGTGATGTAGGGCCTATAGCATTTATTTTCTACTTTTTAGTTCAATCAGAAAACGTGGGTTTTTTAAAACTTTTTTAATGATTATTATTTTCTACTTTTTAGTCTTTGTCTGTTTGTTTGCATTAAAATCTTGCTATCGATTTTATCTTTTCACTTTTTTTGGGTAAACGAAGACAACTCGTAAAAAGACAACTCGTAAAAAGACAACTCGTAAAAAACACGTTGTTTGAATACGTTACTGACTAGAACACATAGATTTGAACCCGTGTCGAGTGGGATAGCAATCGTGTGCCCAACCACTCGACCATATCGTCTCCCCCAAACTGGCCTACCTCCTGTAAGTTTAAACTCGGTTCAAGCTAAATTCTCTGCCCCTAAGCCTGTGGCGACATGTGATCGTTCGCTTCACTGCGCGCGAGGTACGCGTCGCTGGTTTTTTTTGTAATGGCTAGCAGAGGAGAATTATATATATAGATTATATAGCGGTCTAAAATGCTCAATAAAATGTTTCCATTGATCAATTTAGTAATAATAACAATTGAATATTCAATGGTCATCCAAAAGAAAGCTTCCCTGAAAATTTCAGCGCGCTAGCTAACTGGGAAGTGCCAGAAATTTCGATCGCAAGATTTGATTGGAAAGACAAACAAACAGAGAAAGCAAGTTAAAGAAAACGTGGGAAAATATGTCCAATAATAGACCGGGAAACTTGGTTCAACTTTGCGGTCCGATATCTCCACAAGTATTTAACTTATTTTGACCACGAACCCTGAGCGTTATACGTCTACATTTAATGTATTCGTCTGCCAAATTTAACTGTTGTAGTACGTAAACTCGATACGTGTATACAAATTTTGTAACGCGTCATCAGGTTAAAGACGGCGATTCGAAGCACAGCAGGGCGGTTCAGTCAGACAGCGGTCGGCGCGTCGTGTTTATATTTTCGGTCCACTTCAAAGTCTATAGACGTCCTTATTATAGGGCCTTATAGGACATATCATACATATTAATAAACGTCGAGATTTCAGGAATACAGCTCAGGGTTCAAATAAAAAATCGATCCATAAATAGCTCAAATAACTTAGTTTAACTTTGCGGTCTGATATCTCCAAAAGTATTTAACATATTTTAACCAAGAACCCTGAGCGTTATACGTGTACATTTAATCTATTCTTCTACCAAGTTTCACAGTTGTAGTACGAAAACTCACAGAGTCTATAGACTCCAAGTAACACCCCCCTTTTAAAAAGGTGAAAAAGCCTCCCCCCTAATCGGCACGTCGCCGCGGAGGGTAAAAAATGCGATTCAATCGGCGATTTCTTCAACGTCTGAAATAATACAGAAATCAAACTTATACAGTTAAAAAGGTTATTCAATTACGAACAGAATGATGTATAACATGTTAACAAAGACACAATAAAAGCATGCAAAAAATAGAGTTGAACATGCAGGGGGTAGGGAAAAGCCGATTTGTCCGATTTTCTCGGCAGCGGCATTGGCCTAGCTAATTAATTAGGCCTAAGTAAAGTTAGGCCTAAACAAAGTTTTGAAGTTTTTATTAGGCCCAAGTTTAATTTAAAGTTTAGTTTAATAATCAAAATTAAAGTAATTTAATTTAAAGTATTAAAGTAGGCCTAAATTTTAAAGAATAAAATAGGCCTAAATAAATAATAGTAAAGGGTAAAACTCCCTTTTAGTGTATTTTATTCCCCGCTTCATGTTCACCTCCAGTTGAGCGTAAATTATTATAAACACAACCGAAACACACAAAACGTTAGGAAAACACTAGATCTAGCCTACTTATTTTTATGAATGTGATTTTTAATTAGAAAAGGTAAAAATAAACATAAAAAAAGCATTAGAACTGTTCCAATTAAATATCGTGTGATCGTCAGCGGGAGAAAAATCCTTACACGGTCGCAGGTTCACTGTGAGTTCACAATTACTTTAATTATCAGCATACGTCATTGCTCGGGAAATAGCTGTTTAAAATTGTGTTGGCCTCAGTTTTGGGGGTCGTTGTAAGTTCATTAATGTTTATTTATAGTATAGTAAAAGATACTTGTAACAATACAAACTTAACCGCCTTGCAATTGTGAGTTACGTTTACGTACTTCACCCATTGCCATGAAAATTCTGACACACGAACATTGCACATTCAATATTCTAAATTAGGATTTTTCTCAAGTTTTGACAAAAGTAAATTATCAAAATCTAAAACAAAGTCAGTCTCTTTGTTTTTCTTATTCATTTTCATTCATTTGTTAAAACAAAAATACAATACAAATAAATAAATCGTGTTTTCCTAATGTTTTGGTGTGTTTCGGTTATCGGTTATTATAATAAAATACGCTCAACTGTAGGTAAACAAGAAGCGGAGAATAAAATACGCTAAAATGGAGTTTTACCTAATAGGGCCTAAAGATTTTAGATTAAATTAATTATTAAAGAATCCAAAAAAAAATGCAACTTACTTTCACTTTGTGTGTTTTTTTAGGCCTACTTTTTCTTTTTATATTTTTATTTCTCTTTTGGACTAGATCTAGCTGCACTAGACTACTACTGTAACTAGACTAGACTAGCCTCTAGATAAAATTTTATGGTAATCTATTGTTTTGGGTACGTAAAATCGCCCGCGGCTATTTATGTACGAAAACGTTACCTCATTGTCAAGGCTTTAATAGAAGTATATTGTCATATATTTGTGTCAAATATTATAGATAAATGAATAATAAACCTAAATCAATGGCTAAATATATGACATAAAATTTTTGAGAGCAAGATTTGCTATATAAACAGCAGCCATTTGTAAAATAGAGTGGCTTCCCCCTGAATCTGGCGCTAAAAGCTTATAAAAATAAAACTTCGACAAGATGGCTGCTATAGTAAATAAGCATGGTTGCATCTGTTGGAAACATCGCTAGTTTGGTAAAATCACGATATAGCGTCGGTTATTATTCCGGAACTGTACAGCAGTAAAAAACAGTAAAACCATGGCGTAGTCTGTCGAGCCGTTCCGGAAACCACCGAAAATACTGTAAACCATCATTTATTTGCCGCCATATTATTTTTAATACATAATGTTTAAAAATGTGCAAGGATTGATTTTAGTTGCATTTTAAATACTGTTTTGCTAATTATTTTGTATTTCTAATTATTTTAAGTGTATGTGCTAATTATTGCTGCTACTAAACATTATTCCAGTTATTCTTACTACTTTCTTTAGTTAATCTAATCGTCTTATTATTTACTAACAGAACTAGAGCTGGCTGTCGCAAATCTTCTGCAGGTTTTTTCTGTTTCTTAAAAAAAAAATCATTAATTACTACACTCGACTTTATTAATAATATTTAGATTTACTAATTGTTGCTAATTTTTTTGTCAGTTAAACATTAAATTAAGATAAAACATTAATTTAATGCATTTGACTTTATTTTTATTTCACCGGTCAAATAAACTATGATTTACAGTAACGAATGTTACCGAAACTCAACGAACATTACCCAATAATTTCCGACGCTATATCGTGATTTTACCCGCTACTAGTCTTCATTTATTACGGAAAAGTTTTAATTCAATTGTTTAAAAACAGGTACATAAATGAATCAAGGAAACATTTTTGAATTTTTTAAAACATAAATCCTCCTCAAAATGTGAAATAATTATTAAAATTTAAGGAGTCACCTGTTTTTCACATTACAAATCGCGGGCGATTTTACGTACCCAAGACGATAGATTACCAATTTTATTATTTTAATTATAGGTTAACCAACTTACTGAATATAGATCTAGAATCTAGATCTGTGGAGTAGATTTAGAGATCTAGAATGATTAGACTAGATCTAGGTATCGATCTAGATATAGATCTATCTAGAATCTAGGAATCCACTGCTGACACATCTTCGCTAAAAAAAAAACTCATAGGCCTAGGCCTAGGCCACACAGATTGGATCTGTTGTCATTTTCCCGTAAGAATTTTTATGGCCCAAGTAAAAAGTGTATCGATAAAATTGTGACTTACGAAACAATAAATTGAGGCTAGATCTAGATCTGGTGAGGGGTGGAAGCAGGCGTTGTAACTGAAATAGCAATGTAAACAGAAAGTGTTATTTCAACGCCAAGGGTAGACAAAGGTACATATTCTGTACCTTTGTCTACCCTTGGCGTTGAAATAACACTTTCTGTTTACATTGCTATTTTAGATCCAGAGGCGTAGCGACCCTTCCCGGCGCCCGGGGCGAACTTTCAATTTGGCGCCCCCCCCCCCCCCCCGCTTATATATATATATATATATATATATTTATATATATATATATATATATATATATATATATATATATATATATATATATATATATATATATATATATATATATATATATATATATATATATACCTATATATCAGTGGTTCCCAACCTTTTTCGAGTGGCGACCCCCTTTTATAAAAAGTAAGTGACCCGCGACCCCCATAGAATTAAAAAGCCGAAATTAGTATGGAAATTAATAAGCATTAAAAAAAGATTTTCTAGTAGACTTTCAATATGAACTACTCTTGACAACTGTTTAATAGCATGAGTAAAATTGCATACTATTCACTAAACCTTCGTGGTTAACTTTTTAATTAATTTTTTTGTTAACGCCAACCTATGTCATTATAATTATCTTAATTTTGTTTTTAATCGAAGAATAGTGTTGAATATATATTCGAAAAGTCAATCGATTTTACGTTTGGGTATGAATAGTGAATACTACACCAAAATTGTGTCTGCAGTTTTTCATCTTACTCGGAATCATTCTGCACATCAAAGAATTCATCTTGTAATTCATCGGGAATTCTGGCAACATCAAGGGAAGAAGAGAATGGGTAATGGGTAAATGCAGATTCTTCTTTTTTCAGCTCAGAGAAATAGCAATGCAGTTCGTTTTCAAGAGATTCAAGATGCCCAGAAATCGCTTCTTTCAAAATTTTAATTATCTCACAATCAGATTCATCTACCACACCGCAGTTTCTCAAATTTACAATATTTCCAAGATTTATTTTCTTTACCGATTTTGCAGTTTTGATAAAAATGCCCCGAGATTATCATGGAAAGTTATAATATTCGTTCATTTTCCCTGAAGCTTCAGGTTAAGCTTAACTTGATGTTCGAACACATCTGCTAGGTATGATACTCTCTCCAACCACTCTATGTCGTTTTAAGTATACCAAAAACTCTTGTTTCCTTTGCACTTCCAAGAACAATTTGATTTCATATTTCAATTCAAAAACACAATTAACAACATTTCGTTTGACAGCCAGCGTACTGTAGTGTAGAAACGCAGAACCTCGTGATCTATATTAAATTTTTGCTCAGTTCTTTGAGGGCTCCAGATTTTATATAATTAACTACTTATACTAGCAATGGACTCTTGATGTCCATTGGTTAGGGCAGTGGTTAGGAAGCTAAATCTTTTCTGTTTTCTGAAAGCCCGATTTTGAGCTAAGCATAGATGGCGCGCCATCCGCACAAACCCCCACAGCCGTTCTAACCCATTTTAATTATCCAGTTTCAAAAAAGGTATTTATTTTCTCCATGCTATCTTCACAAAAGAGCAACTCTTCATTGCTATCATCCGCATGAATATAGACACAGACCAGCAACTGCGAACACGAACTCACGTCTGTTGATTTATCAACTTGAAAAGCAAACAATGGTGAAAGCTTAATTTCAATAAAAATGTGTTATTTAACATTTACGTACATGCAGCGTTTGATGAGATTTTCTCCTATTGTTTTTTTTTTGCTTGGCATTTTCTATCGCGACTTCATTTGATGCTTGCACTAATGCTGGTGAAAACTTCCTGTTCGATCAAGTCTCTGACGTTTTCAACTAGCTTCTTACCGACGAAAGAACTCCATATATTTTTTGGTGTGTTCCGAATGACTCGTCTCAAATGACGTTTTAGTTTTGAAGATTTCATAAATTCGTGACTGAGAACAACTTTGTACAGTGCGCTTTGTTTCTTCTCTATTACATTTCCAGTGATGTTAATGAAGCCGAATTTCAAAAATTCTTCAAAATATTTATGTTTTGTTTCAAATTACTTAGGTTTAGTATACCAGTTGGCGACCCCCTAGAAAGACCTTCGCGACCCCCAGGGGGGTCGCGACCCCCAGGTTGGGAACCCGTGCTATATATATATATATATATATCTAATATATAAAGCTCAGTTCTGTATGTGGCGGACAAAAATGTGCATCGTTGGCATTTCTACGGATTCAAGTGTTAGATCAATTATCGTGCGCAGTCGTCTAAATTTACGAGTCAAAAAATTACCATTGAAAGTCTTTAAAAACAATTTTCATTCTATTTACTTAAAAGAATAATTTTCAATTATGAACACGACATAAAATTTTTAAAAAGTGTATCGACGTTTATAAAATTTCTAAAATTGTGTCGGAGATGTATTGACTGCACAGTTACTTCCCTTTAAAAAAAATCATTAAGAAGAAAGAATTTACTTTTTATTATTACTTTGTTTTGGTGTTAAGAAAAAAAAAAATTACATAATCAGCGGGGATTGATTAAGTGCAATGTCGTTAGGTATTTTTAACACTGCCTTTTATTTATTCTATACACTGAACATACTGTTCAATAATTATTTTTTTTTAAAATCAATAACATTTAATAAGCCATGGTCCTACAAATCCTATATGTTTCTTTCTTTCCATTTACGGATAAGCTTGGAGTGTTATCATTTTTGTTCACTAAATTGAAACAGGCGCGTCCGCCGGCGCCCCTGCACGGTTCGATTTGGCACCCTGGGCTATCATGTGAGCGCTATGCTGCATAATTTTGTTTTGAACAGTGCGATAGACTATGGATAAGAAAGGTTACTATAGTCTTTAAGTGAATCAAATCCGGGCGTCCTCCGGCACCCCGACAGGGTGCTATTTGGCGCCCCGGGCCTCTGCATAATTTTGTTTTGAACAGTGCGATAGACTATGGATAAGAAAGGTTACTATAGTCTTTAAGTGAATCAAATCCGGGTGTCCTCCGGCACCCCGACAGGGTGCTATTTGGCGCCCCGGGCCTTCCGGTGTACGCTAGGGTATCTACGTTCGCGTGAGTTCAAAAGACTATCGATAAGTTATGTACTATAGTCGTTTACTAAGTTCAATCAGGCGGTGACGTCATGGTGCGTCCTCTGGCGCCCAGACAGGGTGCTATTTGGGGTCCCGGGCCTCCCGTGTTCGGTTTCGCGCCTACGTTCATTAAAGTGAGTGCAAAAGACTATGAATAAGTTGGGGTACTATAGTCGTTTATTAAGCTGAAGCAGGCGATTCAGCCCCGTGAGCACTTTGCGTTTATGTTCGCGTTAGTATTTTCTTTGAGTTTAGGTTGGGTTTGCGTTAGTGGTTGCGTTTTGATTTGGTTCGTTTTTGTTCTTTCTTTTTTCGTTTTCGTTTGTGTTTTATTTTCATAGGGTTTGTGTTTGTGTTTGTGTTTGAGGTTGGTTTTACGTTTGGATTTGGTTTGTTTTCGTTTGTTTTTTCTTTTGTGTTTTTTTTCTTTGGGTTTGTGGTTGGTTTTGGGTTTTGGATTTGGTTTGTTTTCGTTTGTTTTTTCTTTTGTGTTTTTTTCTTTGGGTTTGTGGTTGGTTTTGCGTTTGGATTTGGTTTGTTTTTGTTTGCTTTTTTCTTTGTGTTCGTATTGGTGTTTGTGGTTGTGGTTGGTTTGTTGTTAGGTTTTTGTTTTCGTTTGTATTTGTAATTGTGTTAGCGCTATGTTTGCGTTTTGTTGTTTTGGTTTTGGTTGGTTGTAGTTTGGGTGGGCAATGCCGGGTTTATGATGATTACTAAACACACAGGTAATGGTCTTTAACAAAAGGGTTTTTCCCAGAAGCCAGAGCAGGGCCTGGCCGGGACGGCTAGTATCTATAATATAAGCGGGCTGTGTCTGTCCTTCCTTCCTTCCTTCCGTCCGTCATCGCTATAGATTTTGGGACTATAAAAGTAATCTACGCACCATGCTGTGCTTTTCAGTGCACCGCAGTGTCTTATTATAAGTAATAGAGTAGGGTTTGTTTATATAGCGGCATAGAGCTATTTTATAAATGACACTGTGTTTACTTTTTTGCATAACGTTATGAAAATATTAACTATTCGCACATTGCTAAAACATATTAAAAAGATCAATGTCAAATATCATTTTAGTTTATATTCCTAGAAAAAATGGATACATTTCCATAAAAGTAGGTCGAAAAAACTAATTAATTCAACTTTTTTTTGTGGTAATTTTTGTCAAGGGAGGTAATTTGAAAATATATTTAACTCAACAATAATTTAAGTTAATCTTTTTTGTATTACTACCGCATTGATTAGTATATGTTAATGTTCATAATTAAAAGAGAAAAATGTTAAGATTATTTATATTATTTATTATTTTTTTCTAATTAGTCTATGATTTCTCTAAAATCTTTTTGCTTTTGTTTTTTCGGTGTTATGAAAACAGATGGTGAAATTAGACTTTTTGAGAATAATGGAAAGGCTCTCTCTGAGCGCGGACGTATGGGAAAATGTTTTTTTTTAAATATTCAACTCACTCTCAATAAATTAAGTTAATTTTTTTTTATTACTTCCACATTGATTATTATATGTTAAGTAAAATAGAAAAAATGTTAAGATTATTTACATTATTTTCTAATAAGACTATGATCTCTCAAAATCACTATTTTTTGTTTTTGTTTTTCGGTGTTAACAGATGGTGAAAATTTAGAATTATAGTATAGAGAATGCTGGAAAGGCTCTCTCTGGGCGCGGATGCCTAAGAAAAGCGTGTTGTTCGTTGGTGATTCTATTGTTGTGGTTGTGTTGTGGTTGTGTTGTGTTGTGGTTGTGTTGTGGTTGT